TAGTGTCATTGATTACATTTTCAACCAGCTTGTGAACAAAACATTAAACAAAGGCCATCCTAAATGGCTTTAGATGTAACTAAGAATTAGTAGATTTTGGAGTTCAAATAAATCTACTGGGTAATCTCAGAATGAAAGCACATCTATGAAAAACATGTTAAAATCTTAACTTCAAAACCTAACTGGGTTTACTATAGACATTTGGATGTGTATGTGTTAGCTTTATTCTCGTGTAGAGTCTAAAAAATGGTCAAATCTTTATATCTATTTGTGATTTTGCATGCCTAAGTTTATGTGCGTTTACTGACCCTGCTCTCTCTTCCTTTGTCATCTCTTCGATGCACAAAGACACATTTTTAAAATGCAATTTAGCTCATTTCTGATACATAAAAACCTCCTTATTGCGCTGAAAGATGAAAGCAACTAAATATAAACAACAGATTTGTTTTACAGTAAAATGGTGCCAAAAAATCCAAATAAAAACATCTCAAAAGTGACTTTGAGGGTCCATTATGTCCTCCAAAGCTATTATATGTCCTCACAGCAGAGCTAAAACAGATCTTACAGACACACACACACACACTGACAGTCTCCACTGGCTCTGCAGAAAGGGTCTGGGTCCCCTCCTGTCGCCATCCTTTTTTGCCTGCAGCTGCTGGCCAGCCTGTCAGTTCCCAGGCATCAAGTCATCAGAGATGACGCCTCCTCACGCCACCAAGTGGTAATCACCTGTCCTGCATATTTCTGCAACAGAAACCCTGTCATGCACCAAGATTAAAAAAAGGGACTAAAGAATCAGTTTACATTTTTTACATATATTTTCACCCTCTGAATTTTATTGGAATAAAAATGTTCAGTTTGTTATGTCTTCGCTCCTAATTGCAGATATAGAAATATCCACTGGCTTCAACATGAGTTACAGTGTGTATTGTTATGGTAGGGAAAAGTCTTATCAGCCCTTATTCTATAAAAAACATTCAGATCCTTACACCTTGTTTTGTTTTTATCACATTATAACCAAATACAATGTTAGTTTTCCTACAAAGTGTTTTGCTTGTATTACAAAAGTTCAACTGCATTTATATGGAGACTTAAAGGAACAGAAGTGGTACTTAGGTGACCTCTTAAGGCTACTGGTTGTTCTGGTTTTCATCAAAAGGCATTTGATGTCAGGCTGTAGCTTTTCACTTTTAAAAGCATTCATTCTTTTTCCAAAATTAACTACTGTGTGATGATCCAGGATATATAATCTTAAGGAAAGTTAATAAAGCTTTTGGTAGCAAAATGAAAAAAAAGAGAAAAACCTTAACATTTAATAGTATTTTTGAAAAGACAAGCATGCTGATAACTATATGCAAATATCTTTCTTCTGTTATCTTCCCTGTTGATAACAAAATACAAGCGACCCAGGATACAGAGTACCGTCTACTGGATATGCTTTGCATAGCCTCAGATCTCAACCTCAGATTTTAACGTGCTTACCCTACACCTGGACTCTCACTGTTCAGGGGAACTAATAACATTATTTGAATTGCTAAAACAAGGTCACAGAGTTCAGCTTGTTCTCTGTATTATACTTTAGATTGATATGCATCTGTTTGTGTTGAATTGTGTTGAATTATGATGCCTGAATTCACTAACAAAAGTTGTTAAAAGAGTTTGTATTATAGGCTTCAAATTTCTAAATATATTTCAACACTCTGACTAAACTTTGAGTTTGGAGATTTGTAATAAATGTAAAACAAGGAATAAAAACCTGTTTGGTTACTTATTGAAATCAAAATGTTCTGGCCAGTCCAAAAGCAGTAACAAATGAACAGTTTTTATTTTATTTTTTAACCATCTGCCTGCATAATAATAAATTGTAGCAAAAAGAGATTCAAGTGGGAAAAAAAACAGGTTAGAAACCAGTTTATCTGTGCAAGAAAATAGAAAATCTTCAGAGGCTGTTATACCAATGCTTGTTGGAAAAGCTTCCTAATGCAGAGATTCATCATGTGAGTGGAAAAAAAGGAAAGATGTTTACCTAAATATGATAAAAAGTTGACACTCTTGAAGGAATATGATATCCTCAGAAGACCTCAGGTCATAGTGATGACAAAGGAAAAACAAAAATCAAGGAAGATATGGGGACAAACGGTCAAGCTCTCTGTGTCACATTTCTTCTGATGGCTTCCAAACACCAGCCTTCACTTTTTACTAATCTGTTTGTTTATGATTGAGTTCTCTGTTAGTTAGTATTCCATGAAATAGGTAGGTCAATGCACTTTGCTTTGTATTCACCAACAGGCTTCACAAATATAAACTTTTAAAAAGATCTGTGAATATAAATAATTCAGTAGGGATTTTTTTTTTCACCTCCATAAAGATTTAATGAATCTTCAACTTAAGCAAAAAATGATCCATCTTAAGTATATCTAATCTTCTTTGCTTATATAAAATTCTTTAGTAAATAGTTGCTAATTAAGTATGTGACCACTTACACCGTAGTGACCTTTTTAAAAAGATTTTCAGTCAGGTTCTGAAAGGTACTGTTGAAAGTCACTAATGATATGCTCATGGACTTGTATCTGGACGTGTCCCATTAGATCACAGAACTGCTTTTGATACAGTCGATCCTAATATTCTTATGGAAAGGCTTGAAGTTAGAAATAAGCTCTGTGGGAATCAAGAAAAAAGCACTAAACTGTTTTAAAACATATTTATCTAATACATTTCAGTTTATTTATGATATATGATGCTTTCTCCTCAAGCTCCAGGGTTACCCTTGTTTTAGCACAGTGATCATTGCTAAAGCCAGTTCTCCTTACTCTTATATGCTCCTAATTGGTAGAATTGTCATACAGCATGGGATTCATTTCCTATGCTAGGCTGATGATACCTATATTTGTCCACAAATCATCAAGAAACTGATCTGTTACACAGACTATAGGCATGTCTTGAAGACCTAACAACTAAAATGGATCTAAACAAAATACAGAATATTGGATTATTGGACCAGAGTCCAAAAGGAAGAGGCTTTTTGTCACTTCATCTCGATGGCATTAAATTGGTCTCAGATAATAACCTTAAAAAAGCATTGGTGTTATTTTTGATCAGGACTTGTCATACAATTCCCATATCATAAAGGTTTCTAGAAAATTTCTGGAATATTGCTCTTACTTAATTAGTATTATTTAAAGGCTTGACTATTGTAATTCTGTATTATCAGGAAGTCCACAAACTGTAGTTAAAAGCCTTCAGCTGATCCAAAATGCTGCACCCAGAGTTCTGATGAAAATTAAAAAGAGAGATCATATCTCTCCTATCCTGGCTATCTCTTCATTGGCTTCCTGTTAAATCCAGAATATAATTTAAAATCCTCCCTCTCACATATAAAGCCTTAAATGGCCAAGCTCTATCTTATATCAGAGATATGATTGTTCCTTATGTTCTTAACAGAGCACTTTGCTCTCAATCTGCAGGTTTACTAGTGGTTCCTAGAATTTCTAAATGTAGAACGAGAGGCAGATCTTTTAGTTATTAGGCTCCTCTCCTGTGAAACCAACTACCAGTTTTAGTCCGTGAGGCAGACACCCTGTCTACTTTTAAGGCAAGGCTTAAAACTTTCCTTTTGATAAAGCTTATAGTTAGAGTCTCTATGCTTACACTGCTATATTCTTATGCTGCTGGAGGACATATGGACCACTTTACATATTTCTGCTTCATTCTGTCTCAATTCCCAAAATTCAGTGGTATTTATTAGTTCAACTCTTCATGATATTTCTATTAGGATTAAACATAATAGTATTATTCAACAGATCTGTAAACAATGTTTTCCCCTTATATCAAAAACAGCTTTCAGTGCTAATGCGTAAATATAGGTGGTGTCAAGTTCCTGTCAAAACCACCAGTGTTTTACAAAACCAGGAATTTGACGTTATACTACACGACTGGTGCAGAAAAATCTACAAGCAACGCCAACCCAGCCGTTTGAGTTCCTTTACCAGATCATTTAAAAATTAGGCAGCTGTAAATGCATGGAGAGACTGTGATTTAATATTGAAGGAATAAAAGCAACCCAGGACTTCTTGGTGATAACATTTAGGCTCTAAGCTGTCTCTTGACATCATTCTTCCTGTTATAGAAGCAGTGGACATAAATCTATGGCCTTTTAATCAATCGGTTCGACATTAAGGAAGATCAACACATAAAAGTTAATCAGCAAACACTCCCAAATACAACTGACATCTGTGGACATGTTAAAAGCAGGCACCTCACCTCTACCAGTACCTTTTTTTGCCTCTAAATCACCTTTCTTTTTATATTTCCATTCACAGAAAGGAGAGGCAGGAGGGGGTGCGCTCCATCGTTTGAGGTTTAAGCAGACGAGAATTGGGGTGGATTTGGGGGATTTCTCTCCAGCAGCTTTTCAGAGAGGGCGAGGTATCAATCAGGTGCTGATGTTACGATGATGCAACGTTTCAGCCTGCTGAGAAAAAGTTACTTCTGGTGCGCTGTGAGGATTTGTATCAACTTAAGAGCAGTTAAAAGTCGATATAAGTCGCTGACACTCTGCTGTAGTGGTTTGGAGGAAACTGTCTGATGTTGCTTTAATGAGGTGTCTTGTGAAAGTATTAAATAGAAACAACTGTTTTGGGATTAAAAGCAGAAGATAATATCCCAAATGTTTGAGAAAACCTAAGAAATCACAGGAGAGTTTAGCTCATTTAAAAATGTTTATTCTCACGTGCTGAGATTTCATTCCAGCCAGAAAAATACAACTGCTTTTCATTTCTCTATATATTACATTCAACAGTGCTGTTATTTTGTATAAATATAATAAATCATCTGAGCGTGATCAAATATAACTTCTCTTAAAACCCATAACCCCTCTTAGAGTAAAAAAAAAAAAAAGTAGACTTTACATAAAGCAAAATAGAGAAAAGTTCCCAGCAAGTGTACAGCATTGGTCCCAAAACTCTGGAATATTGAAAGATCATTTCCAGAATGACAGTTTGGAAATAAAGAAGCTACAATATGTACTGCAAATGTGCAATCAGCGAAAGGAAAGTATATCATTCACATGCAACAGCATGCATTTCACGGTTCTTTAAGGAGGGGGTAATTAGCCCAGAGTAACACCCAAAAGTTTAATTAATCTCTTATTGAAAACATTTTTTTCTTTCAAAGCTAAAATCCTGAGATATACAGAAGAAACAGTTTGGGGAAGAAAAAAACTGCTTTTAGGCACAACCAAACCTATTACGTCTCAAAAGGAGAAAGTTCAGGTCAACTTTATTCAGAATCGACAAGGATTCAGATAAAAAGGCGCTACAGGGCAAAGGCTGCTTAGTTGATCTTTTTGGAGTCTTCTGCTTCTGACGCTTCTTTGGCTTTAGGCGAGCTCTCTACCCCCCCACCGGGTGAAGAGGAGTGGTTCTGTCCTGATGATCTGTTTTCCTTGGACTCTTTGGTTGTGCCGCAGCAGGCGGTTCTGTTTGTTATGCTGTTATCCGTGCCTGCTTTGTGTAGCTCTCCTGTGAGAGCAGCGTACGGGGAATAGCCAGTAAAGAGTGCCTTGTACAGGGCTGACTCGATGGGGGCGAAGGGTGAGGAGGAGGAGCCTGTCAGCATCATCCGTGTCTGGAGAAGAAAAAAAAAAAGAAGAAATTAGATTCAAAACTTTTCATTTCTATTCTATTGGGCCTAAAAAATACTAAATACGACAATAGGTTTTCCCACAACCTCTGCAGCTTTTATCATTTTGGCCATTTTGTACAAACTAGTCCATTTAAACCCAGCTTAGTTAAGACAAATTAAGAGAAATTAAGTAATGTTTTTTGTCTTTTCATTTATTACAGATGACCAGCCCGTTGGAAATAAGAGCCCTAATCATTGTCAAAGATTAATCCTAAAAAATAAATCAATAATCAAATTAGTGAAACATAGAATTGTAGTATTGAGTATTTTATGATTATTTATCTCCGTATTTCCTCAACAGTACAGCCAATAGAAACAAACTGACCCATAATGTTAGCTTAAAGAGTTGAAAGTAGGCGAGCAACAAATGAAGCTGTAAGCTAACACCACAGCCTTCTGAATTGAGGCATTTTAATGATTTTCTACACATTCCCATTTTTTGAGCTTTTTTATGTACTTTTTAAAATTTTACATCTTTGGATCTTTCTCTTTGTTTCTTTATTCCATTTGCTAATCTCACAGATTTTCCTATTTATATTTATCATAATTATATTATATGATATAACATCATAATAAAAATGCATCAAATACAAGTAGTAATATAATTAAACTTATGATTTATTTTAACCAGACTTCCATTAATTGTTATTCTGGCCTATGTTCAATTTAGGTAACTCTTACAAAATAATAGAAAAAATAAAATATTAATATTATTATACCAAATAACTATTAAGGAAGATTGTTAATTACTGATTGGAAGCTAAGTTAAATGTTCCTAAACCTTAGTAGTTTTTTTTGTTTGTTTTTTTTATTAGGCATACCACATTCAGGTAGAAACTGGATTATCTGTTTGGGGAATAAAATTGTCTAAACTGCTAGAAGCTCACTGTAATACATTTATTTAGCATATATTCCTAAATATTTAAAGCAATAAAAGTTATATGGTTTTAAAAAATGTAAAAAGCAGCTATAACAATACAACTGCATGCAAATAGCTCAACTCTAAAGAGACTGCCAACCTGCCTGCTACACATTAGTGTTGTCTGCAGAACTATTAAGTTATGATTTATTAATGGGTGCTTGTTCAGCAACGTATGATGCCTTCTTAATATGCATATAAAAACACAAAAGAGGATGGTGGTATTTCATTTCTATTAGGGTATGACTGCTTGATATCCACGTCATCAAAAAGTAAACAAACAGCTCTTAAATTTGATGAAACATGCTGCTGGTGATTTGACAGATCAAGCAGTGGGAGTTAGATAGAAAAAAAGTTGAGAGAAGATGTGATAGATTTATCTGTTTTGTGAGTCATGAGCACATTTTCCCAGAGACGAGAAAAGTGGGTGATGCAAGCTGATGAAAATGATGCAAAAGCTCCAGCCCTGCGGGTAATACGCAGCTAATGTGAGTCACCGAAGTGAAAACTTCAAAAAAACAGCAGAGACAGGAAGGTCATTTAAAAGACAAAACATCAAAGATCGAGTTGGAGCTGTGGCAACAAGACATCTGTTAAATCTATGGTTAGCTCAAATTAATAAAAAAAACGAGAACATGGCCGATTAGATGTTATCAGAGACATCTCCCTATTCTGCATGTTACTCGCTGGGTTGGATTTTACTCATGTCGTAGTGTGAAACAGGTGCAGGACACTGACCTTGTTGACGACGATGAAGATGGTGTAGAAGAGCATCAGGTGGTGTTTCTGCAGAGGCAGGTAGTGAGTCTGCTGCAGAGAGAACAGCACTGCTCCCATCAGGGTGACCTTAGTGGGACTGAAATCAACAGAGTATCAGACAGAACGTTCTAATATACAGGAAGAACAAAAAAAAAAAAACATGAAAACTTTCATCATCAGCATGTGCCAATGTTTAAGATATATCTGGAGCCAAATATGATCTGCTCTGAATGTAAACTGCAAAATGCAAAACACTTTGTTTAAGGTTTTTATATAAACAAGCATGTCATTGCAACAAATTAAGATCTAGTAGTGCTGCAACATGAATGATGAGTGAGAATATATTAAACAGAACCATAATAAACATGTGAGCAAAGCAAGAGCATCATGTTAGAAAACTGCACATTTTTATTTCTACTCATTCATTAATTAAAATGATAGATCATAAAAAAACACAAAGTGCTGCACAAAAAAAGAAAGACAGACAAAAAACACTTCCTAAGTAATGTATAGCACATATATGAATTTATATAAACGTGCTGGGTTCTTCCACAAAAAAAACTAGGGAATAATCAGTCTTTACTTTTAAGACTGTTTAATTAATAGACTCAGATAAGTCCAAGCTGTAGAACCCCTGAAGTTGTGTTGTGGTGCTGCAGACTGGCTGCAGGAAGAACCTGTATTTCCTCAAGATCTTGAGATCTGTAGAATTTTAGAGACCAGCTTAACAACTCAATCTTGTTTTTGTCCTAAAACTAACCCTGCCTAATTAAGCTATCTGCAAAAGAAAAGTGAAACCTAAATGGCTAAATTTACTGTTAGTCAACTTAGCAATGGATTGGCCCCTCATCTGCCATACATAATAGTCCATCATGTGTTTCCGATGCAGCAGTTTCTCCTGGCTTGTTATTCTTGTGTTTTACGTTAGTGATATCAGGAAACATATCTATGCATGTTCTGCTGCTAGCATACCTATGGTTATGTTGATTTATGTCAATTTAACTGCACTTAAATCATTTTATTTGCTTCCTTTAATGAATAGGCTGTAAGCAGGAATTCATTTATCATTTATAGAGTTTTCTGAACTGACTTTTCTTTTTGGAGAATATATTAAAGGAATAGTACACCCAAAACATGATTAGCCTTCATTTTCTACTCACCTCCATGCTGAACAACACTCTGGAGTACTTTTTTGATATCTCAAATGCATCTGGAGATCTGGGAGGCTTCTTGCTGTCTGCTGACATTCAAATAATGGAGGTCCATGGCGCCCGAGACAGAAAGGTCCATAAAAGTCCACAAAAACGTGTCAATATTCCTCCATACTGCTCGTCCAATGTAATCCAAGTGTCCTGAGTGGGTAGCATCCAGAATTTACTCGAAACGAAGTCATTTAGAATGTTTTTAGAGCATAAACAGTAGTGTATAGGATTTCCTAATAGCGCCCCCATGCGCGCTCACGATTCTACGGAAGCCGGCAGACCAAACCGGAAGAAAGTGCGCATTCAGCGTCTGGTCTGCCGATAATGCAAGCGTAGAAGAAGAAATGTGCTGTTTACCTGTGCAAAGAAAGAAACAACGAAAGAAAAATGTCTGAGGACTTCAGTGTTGAGGAAGAGCATGAGTTCTTTGCCGAGCTGAATGCGCTGGTTTGGTCTGCCGGCTTCCGTAGAATCGTGAGCGCGCATGGGGGCGCTATTAGGAAATCCTATACACTACTGTTTAGGCTCTAAAACGTTCTAAATGACTTCGTTTCGAGTAAATTCTGGATGCTACCCACTCAGGACACTTGGATTACATTGGACGAGCAGTATGGAGGAATATTGACAAGTTTTTGTGGACTTTTGTGGACCTTTCTGTCTCGGGCGCCATAGACCTCCATTATTTGAATGTCAGCAGACAGCAAGAAGCCTCCCAGATCTCCAGATGCATTTGAGATATCAAAAAAGTACTCCAGAGTTTTGTTCAGCATGGGGGTGAGTAGAAAATGAAGGCTAATCATGTTTTGGGTGTACTATTCCTTTAAGATACTGTACCAAGAAACAATGTTCATTTGGACATATTTCTCTCAACCTCAGCAATGGCTTCTTTAGTGTTAGATCTAGAGTTGCTAATCTGTTTGATTGGGCAACAGGGATCAGCATTTTATTCCCTTGTGGATGGGTTGGCATTGGCTCCTCACTACCTGACAGGTTCAGTGTTCCTTCCAGGGATATTTTAAATCGATGCTGACCACAGCCAAATAGAGAAAACTCACAAAGGCTGCCGTTTTGAAGATGTTTGGACCAATCGCAAAAATCTAACTGATTTAAAACTCACCTCAATGCTTAGACAATGTTTGTGGAATAAATATTTGTTTTTTGATATATCCCAACTATTAACAGGTGCTATGTTGAATAGATTACATTCTGCTATTTACCTGTCAGCTGTCATAATGTTATGACTGATTAGAGTATACGTTAATATATGGGACTCTTGGAGTGAGTGTTTTCAAGCACCCACAGAAAGCTAAGGGAGGAGTTTCCAGGTGTGGACCGACCATCAGGGGAGACAGGACAGTTCCTGGTGGCCTGGCCTAGGTGCTGGCAGATAGGGGGGGACAGTTGCTCTGTTCAGGTCGTGCCTGAATTATTTTCAAATAAATAATGATTGTGCGTTTCACCGAGGTATCAGCCTTGCTGAGTCCTCCATAGACTGAGCAGTAGCAAGTATAGAACCAGCACACCTCCACTGCCTCTCTTCATTATTGCTGTGGACAAGCCTTGCACCATCTAGCTTTGGAGGAGAGAGATGGTGTAAATGAAAGGAGGAGAGAGGAGGAGGATAAAAGGAAGAGAAAATAGCCAACTGATGCTCTAAAAATAATTTAATGGCAGCTAAGTTATTGACTCCATGTTGAAAATGCTAGCTTAGCCCAATCAGCACCATTAGCTTAAAGCAGAGCTTAGATTCACTCTAAGGTGACCAAAACTGACTTGGTTATGAAAGTTATAACAAGATAATTTATTCAATGCTACAAAGGGAATTTTGATTTCATATAGCTACACTTCATAAACTTCCTAATATATTACATGCCTGTTAAAATCCTTGTGCTTTGTTAATTTATATAACCTTTATTTAAGCATTAAGCAGGTAAAAGTCAGACAAGATTAAGAATATATGTATTTGTTGCTATATGAACATTGCCAGAGCTTATAAAGAGTCAGTAATTTATTACTGATGGGAAATTCCATATAGCTTTTTGAATTCTTATTATCTTTTAAACAAAGATGGAAGAGAAAGAGTCAGTAAGGTGAGCAGAACTTGTGTTGCAAGGGTTGATGGGAGCAGGAGCCAAAGCAGGAACCTTTAGGTACAATCAAAGAGCACAACACTTGGACTTCTTATTGTCGTATAGATCTTCATCACCAATACAGATCTGGATTTTTTTTATTTTGCTTTTTGCATTGGTCCCAGGGAAAGGTACGAGTGGAAAAGCAGCATCATGAGATAACAAATGTAGCAAATTGGCAACAAAACTCAGCCCTAATTGAGTTTAAAAAGGATTTAAATGAAAACCAAATGATGTTTAAAATACTAGGAGATACACATCATATAATGGATAATGTTATAAGTTGAAATTGTAACATAGGACAGATGCAGGGTTAAACCCTGGATCAGAACTGTGATGGATAATGAAGTGTGTGGGGGGGCCTGGGGTTTAATTTTTATCCAACACTCTGTGAGATGAAGCTGTGGTTTCTTCTGTGAGCCCAGAGGCAAGAACAGTTTATAGTTCTGTGGAAAGAAGTCAGGCAGGATGTTTTTATAACATCTTGAATCAGAGGAAGCAATGTTTCAGGCTACGCCTTTAGATTAATTTCTACTTCACCTTGGATGATCTTATAACAGTTAACTTCAGAAATATATATTATTTGCAATGCGAATTTAAGCTAGTTAATTTGTTTATGTTAATCGGGTTGCAGTTGACTGTGTGTTTGAAAAAATTCCCACCCTGAATTAGTTTTCCAGGACCGCCCCTCTGAGTGTATTATAGAAAAACATCTTTTTATTTTCCTTTCCAATCAGGAAACCTTCCAGCCCTTCTTGCAATGTAAAAGTTTTCCAGATTACTTACTAGGACATCTTAAGTAGCTCATTGGTTTCCGGCTTCCATACACCACGAACCAGCTGCTCAAAGTTACTTATAAGGCCACCTCCAGCACCTGGAAGGTAGAGGGACGCATTAAATGGAGAAGAACAGGCAGGATAGACTATAGTGATATGATTCTATGATGAGATAAATGCTAACAAATGTCACTAAAAACATGGAATTATTCCTCCTGAATAACTCCAATCATCAACTGACCTCTCGCCCAACCAATAGCGATCATAACCAGCAGACTATCCTTATATTTTTTTTGTGCCAAGGTGACACCTCCAAGGACCTTCCAGGTTCTGGTCACCTCCTTCATTCCTGACAGAACCAACCTGAGGGGCAGCAGTGCCGTGCAGCTGTACACCACATCCATGGGGCAATAGAAGATGAGGTACCTACAGACAAATAAAGCTTGTATAACTTGGCAGAGACATACTTCTGGTCAGAAAGATACATACTGTACATCCATCATGACACTCCATCATGAAACTGTATGTGTGGCTAATTGTCTCTTAATAATCCTCCCACACCAGGTTCCCCCCAAAATAGGAAAAGGAATTAAGGTTCTTTCACAAGTAAAACTACAACCAAATATTTTTGTAGTCATTATTAGGTTTGGAGCATAAACCAGGCTTGATTGTTAGCGTTGTTCACAAAAAAATTAATATAACTATGGTCTGTGCTTTGGCAAACACATTTTAAGACTTACATTTTACAACTGAACTATATTTATATATTTGGTATTTTTCTGTTGAAACACACAACTGTAACCATACTGTTAAAAATTAATTAAATCTGAAAACTGCTGTGAATGAGTTGCAACTGGAACACCCAATATGATCCAACAGGATGGGAACCCAGCCAGAAGGATGCTCACAATGGTAGGCTGTGTATTTTTTGTGGAGGTAAGGGAAAATATCACTTAATATAGATATAGTATATTTCAACATTCATATAAAGCTACAAAAAGGACTTTCAAACACTACAACAAAAGCTTAAAATGAATATAAAATCCAAGAAGTGTGCTTTGGAAAATTCTGACTGTTTTGGCAAACTACAGCCAGTCTTTTATTCAAGTGTGTCTGTGAACTACCTCTATTAACCAACAGAGTGCAGGATGTGTGTGTGTGTGTGTGTGTGGTTTTGTTTTACCTACAATGTGAGAGAAGTATTTTGTAAAATATCCTACATACAGGTACATATGGGGACATTCAACTGGTCCCTATATGGTAAAGTTCTGTTCTTTGAGTTGGGGGTTAGGTTTAGGACTAAGGTGTGAATTCAGTTTAGGTTAGGATTAGGTACATTTTGGTAATAGTTAGGGTTAGGGTAAGGGTCTGGGTTAGGCCATATAAAATGAATATAAGTCAATGAAATGTCCCCATATGTCATGAAAACAAAGCGGGGTGTGTGTGTGTGGGGTGTAACTTTAAAGGAAACCATTAGAGGGCGCCAAAGGATTGGTTTTCAGATTCAGAGAACCTGTTTTATCTGGTCTATTATTTAAGATTTCCCTGATTTAAAAAAGCAAGATAAGTGAAAATTCCTATTTGTGTGTCACCTCTGACTGATCATAACACAGCTTTTGCCTTTTCCCTCTATGCTGAACAACAACAACAACTTTGCACATTTGGACAAATACAGGACTAATATGGCTTCCCTCATCCTTATTTAACTATATTTACCAGATGATTGATGCGAGAAGAACACTGGTGCCGTTGGACAAAGGTGCGACCGGTGGCTCAGCGAGCATGATCCCTGACAGCACTGCCCCCCCGAAGCAGTAGAGCATGGAGCTGAACCAACAGGCCAAGGGGCTGACTCTGGACACGTCCAGAGCTCCTGTGCAAAAAACATGGATATTAGTAGGATTAATGAACTGCATCTAATAGAAAAACAATGGAGCAGCCGCTCATTTACATGTGGGTAAAAGATTGAGAACATCACAGAGATAGGTTTGAATGTTATTTGTTGCACAGAGCAGGTGTGAACTGTCTGTGCCTTAAACGTCTGATCTGTGTAAACATTAATCTGTTTACAGTCCACAGGGAACTGAGAAAGGGAAGGGTTTGTCAAACACACCAACAGAGTCTCTATGCAGTTTAAACTCCAAAGTTCAAAGAAGTGGAATGACCTTTATAGACAATTACATTGTTTAAACACAGTTTCTGTATGATAATAAACAGTATTTCCACCCTGGTTAGATAGAAATTGCAGGTTTTTTCCCTTGCAATTATTCTAAAAGCCTGGGAACTAATCGTCATCATAATACATTTCTGTAATCCTCATGCTCAGTAAGATATGCAGTATTCCTCAACTAGCAACATGTATTTACTGACACATTGACAAAAAAGCTGAAACAATTCGTCGGAATAATTGGGATTAATCGATTATTGAAATAATCGTCGACTAAAATAGTAATCTTTAATCGTTAAATGGAGTATAGAGACTAAAACATGCATTTAGTTGACAAAGCAACACACTTAGAGCAGCATTTACAACAAACATTTTGCAAAAAAATTTCATCTGTCAATATCCTCTATCCAGTAGTCCTTAAGTGAGAAATTTTTAGTTTGACCTGATTTAATTCTGTAAAAAAAATCTTCATGGAACATTTTGCTGTCTGATTATTTATTAATTGAAAATACATTTTTGACAAAAATAATAGTTAGTTGCAGTCCTACTTGAAAAAATAACTTTATTGTATTTCCCTGATTTAAGGCTGATCCATCGCAAAAACAAATGAAGTCCAGAAATCAACACATATAGATTAGGGAACAATTAATCAGCTTAAGATTACTTGTCGATTAATGGTTTATTTTATTAAAATGTATTTAATTAGATTCATTTATAATGTCCACTTAAACAGTTTCGTAGTGTTGCCGTCATACACTACAGGACACTGCTGTCCATGCTTCCATACAGCCTTACTAATATCACCAAGAGTTAGTATTGCCAGGTGAGTCATGCTAGAACAGAAACATGAATGGATCCAGAGTTTGCTATGGGATTATTTACAGTGTCCAATGTCGACAAGGATCCAGAATGCCCTTTATGTGTTTCTGTTTGAATATATAAACATGCAATAAACTCCTTAGGTTATTATTACCTAAACAGCATGCATTTAGTTGTGCTGCATCGACTTCCCTCCTGTGCCTTCTAAGCACAGCAGCATATTGGAGGGACATACCCTGTCTATTACTGATACTTTTACATGTCTGTACATTGGAAATTATACATGTTTCATAAAATATATAATTTTTTTATTCGGTAATCATGTTCCTGCTTTGCTATATCTTTAAATGTGTTTAACTTAATAATGCTTAAGAAAACATATTTTTTTTGTTTATTCACTCAGTATCTAATACAGTTGGCACAATAAAAATATCATTATGTACTAGCTTTGATTTTACTCAGCATATTTTAAAATACATCAAGCCTTTAATGTTATGGAGAGAGCCTCTGGATAAAAGAGAAAATTCATTTTTTTTAAGAAAATTGCTACAATAACATCAGTCAAATTTAGATTAATTTATTAATTGATAAGTTACATTCCTTGTTTAGATTCTACCTTTAGACAGGAAGATCTTTATTTAGGGCTGCCCAGAGTTGCTACAGCTATATGGCTTTATTTGGACTAGAAGGGTAATCTGAGGATTAGAAACTGATTATAGACTCCTGGAGAGGGATCTGGAGGATTTAAAGCAGGGATGTCAAACTGGTTCTAGAAAGGGCCGTGTGGCTGCAGGTTTTCTTTCCAACCAAGCAATACCACACCGGACTCCAGCCATCTCATCAAGTGAGTCCAGTCTTATCATAATGACTTGATGAGTTGAATGAAATCAATGAAGTATATCCCTGGTTTAAAGCTTTGCTGGTCTTCTCTGCACCCTACCTTAGAATCTGCAGCTATTGCTTATTAACTTTTATCTCACATTCTCATACATATTCTAAAAAAAAGTTAAAGAACAATCCAATGGACTTTGTTTCCAAGTTTGAAGATGTCCAGTGGATTGTTTTTTAACTGAGTGAGAATATTCACCAGCATATTCTTATACAGATGTTCATAACTACATATCATGGTACAGCAAACTGAATATGGTTAAGTCTAATAAAAAATCTAAAAAGATAAAGACAAATTCTCGCCATAACTGTTTTTAATTTGGCTAAAATTAAGGGTTTTCAAGCATGAACAGTCTGGGTAGCTTTATACTAAATCAGACTTTGATTAGGCCATTCCAAGCCCTTTGTTTTCCTTTTTTTAAGTCAATTGGGGTGAACTTGTCAACGTTTACTTAGGGGTAACGGGATTATAACCTGGTAGTAGCCAGATTGATATGTGTACACCTGGGTTGAGTTCTAAATTATTAATCTGGGATGGCTGCCGTTCAGTCTGTCTGTGAAAAGGAGGGACGTTTAGTACAATACTTTGAGCTGTTTCTGGGTGACGTGCCAGCTAGTATCTGCCTTCACAACTAGTAGAGTAAGATGATAAATCAAACTTATCCCAAATGCTGTCGGAAGAAACGCACAGACATCTTTCACATCTATAAAAGCGCAAAGTGCTTCTCTTTGCTCCTTTTTTAAACAAGAAAATGTCGTTATTTTAGCTAAAACAGAATCCGTTGCATTATCTACAGGTGAATTCTCCAGCATAGCCATGTGTGTAAGGCCTTTCTGACTGTCCTCATAAGTCCCATCCTAAAAAACACTGTGTCATGTCACTGGTCCGACCCACTAGTCGTTCGGAGATGGACATATTAGCGGGAGTCTTTCAAGATGGATTTGTTGTGATTGTGAAAACTCAGATCTCGTGACACTCCAGCTTGCAGCTCAAGAGCATCTATAATCAAGTGACAAATTGTAGGCCAGTCATACTTCCTCAGAGTTCTCCTTTAGAAAGCATGGTTCCACCCATGGCAACGAGTAACCCAGGCCCAGAACCATCACACCAGCCAAAGATCATCACACTACCACCATCATGTCAGACTGTAGATATCTTGTTCTTTTTCTTAAATGTTTTAGTTTTTAGTGGATGTAACCCAATGCATATAGTGGCCTAGCAGAAGTATTCACACCTCTTGGTATTTTTTGTTTTGTTGTCTCACAATATTGAACTAAAGTGGATAGTTTGCACCATTTCATGTAAAGACCAGTACCACAACTTTGAAGCCCTGTTGAAACCTCTGTTTGTATTAACTGTTCTCCTTCCCTAAAGGCAGTACTTAGTAAAGCCATCCTTTATGTCAAGTACAGCTAAAGTTTGTTTTGGATAAGTCCATGTGAACTCATGCCATTGGTGCAGGCAAAGCTGACCCACTTCATGCAGGATGGTTTTCACTTGTGAACAACAATGATCATGTCGAACCACAGATGGACTGAGGTCTGGACTTTGTCTTTTTTTTATCTTTGCCCTAATACCCCTCCAGAGTAGCCTGAGCAGTATGACTCAGGTCATTGTCCTGCTGGAGGATGAACCTCCATTCAAATCCCGTTTTGCTTAGATAGATAGCTGTTTTTAGCGTTACTTATATTCATCTTCCACTGAACTTAACAGGCAACTTAACAACATCCCCACAGGATGATGCTACCATGTGCTTCCCCGTGGATTGGGTTTTTGGAGTATGCTGGATTTCGGCCAAATATAGTCTCTCCATGGTAGCAGAGAAGATTATTTTCAACTAATCTGATATTTAAAAAAATGCACTTCATAAAACATAATTCAGGATTTACGCCCTTGAGTGACTATATTTTCACACAGGGTCAGTATTGTTCAGGTTATTTTTGTGTTATCCTAAACTTTGTTCGTCTAAGACAATGTTTATACAGAAAAGCTCAATCAAAAACAGACATTTTTCCACCAGTTTATGCATAATTAATGCTAAAAGCTACAATTCAATTATTTTTTCCTTTTTTTTTATGTAAACTGTGGCATAGGTAACTGCCTCACCTAACACATCTCTACCAGTCAAATATGTCATTGACCTACAGGACAAAAAAAAAAAACACAAAGGTGATTTTGAATCTATATTAATCTGACAAAGTTACCAAGTTACTGACCCAACTGCCTTCTAAGCAACACATTTGTTTCATCTACCAGCTCAGTTGATGCTGTGTGATATACATATCTTCTTTTCACCTAAAAGCTATGGATGTGTTGAGGTAAAGAAGTTCCATGTGCTATAAAATAGGTGTAAGTTGAAAAATGTCAGATAAGGAATAATTTTAATACCTGCAGGCTAAGACCAAATCGGCCATTTAAATCTGCTTCTCCTGTGATATCTCTCAAAGCAGACACTACACAGTTAGATTGTTTGGCCTGATGGGAAAACGTGGTGCAGAGTGCAGCAAAGCGTTTACGCTGCAGACATATATAATGCTGTGTCGTCAACTTTAGATGTAGAGCCATTGTAAATATGCTCGCTATGTTAGAGCCTGAGTGAACAGACACAAACAGAAATTCAGGTTTAGTGCTACAACCTCCAGGACCAGTTCTAGACAGAAAAATAAAACAACAGTTTCTATTTTCAGCCGACAGAGCTGAGATTAGAAGGTAGACCTTTACCATATCCTCCCATTAGGACACTCATTTACAAGGCAAATTGGAGTAACCAGGCCAACCCCACTGCTACCGATCATGAAATGCTTTCCCTAGTTTGTTTGACCTTTATCTTGGCAGGAAAGAAATGATATGATTGACATTTGTCTCTTTTCCTCATCCGTTAAGAGCTGAAACCCTCGAATGTTGCCATTGTGCAAACAAGCACATATAATTGCCACCAGGCAGGTTTAGTGTGGGCTTTTCTCTGAAGCCTTCAGAGGCTAGTAGAATTCATAAGTGA